GAGAAACCATGTTCTTGAATAAAACCTTTAAAGTAATTGTGTATACCTTATAGTTTGACATATTTGGTATTTTGTCAAATTTACATAACTTAATTGGGATTATGATTGCTACTATTTCTCTTAATGTAATGTTGGTGTATGTTGTGAACTTTGAAAGGATGAACATCAAAATACATTTCGAGAAAACTAAATATCTTGGGTTATTCCATTGAGCTACTGTATAGATTTGATACGATCTAGTTGCTTGACAGGCCAATCCTGAAATTTTGTATATATTTCACTTTGTTAAAGTGACATATTTAGGTCGTGATTACGGTTACTACGGTTCAATTGTGTGATATTATGCTATGTTGTGAACGTTGAAAGGATGAACTTTAAGAAATGCATTTGAGATAAAATTCATGTTTTTGAGTAAATCGCTTAGGTCATTTTTCTGTATCTGATACGACCTAGCAGCTAAGCAGGATAATTCCGATTTTTGTTTGTTGATCAAATTGAAATTGAGGAAGAGGTATGTCGATCTCAATATAATATATATTTAATATTGGAAGGTTTTTACGACTTTATTTTCCAGTAAGATACGACAAGTTATAAATAAGATGTAAAGTGAGAATATTTCAGAAAATTATTGCTATAAGCATTATTGGTAGTGACTGTATTGCTTGTATTAACGTATTGCTTGTATATACGCATACGGATGGCGCCCCGCCGCTCGCTGACCTTTTTATTTCGGGTCTTGCGCATCTTTTAAAACAATTCTTTTGAAAATCGGGTTACAGTTACAAAGTCACGTGAACTTTTGTCTTTGCATGTCAGCCCGAAAATCGCTCATTTTTCGTGATTTGTGTACAAAACTTATTATAGAAATGTCATTTTTCCTAAAAAGAGATAAAACATTTGTTATTGGGTCTTGTTTAAGTTTAGGTGTTTTGTTTTGGGAGTCGAAACAGTTGAGTTGTAGTTAGAAATACAAAAAAAAATAATAATAATAATAATTAAAAAAACAGAAAAAAAACAATGAAATACATAACAAATTATGAAAACAAGAGATAAGGAATAATCTAGCTCTTCCCTTTTTTGGTTGTATTATTGTTTCAAATGGTCTAACGTACATGTAGTGAAAAGGAATGCTTAAATATAAAAAATATATGATTTATGGGTAAAAAGGTGAAGGAGATCTTAGGGGGGGGGGGGCATAAGCCGTTGAAACCTCACGAATTAATTTTTTGTCAGATTTTTTCGTTTAGAAAACACTTGAATTAAAGAATTTCGAAGATGGTAGGCGAACTTATGAATAATAGGTGGTTCTTGTTAATAGCGCTCAGATATGACACTCCTGGCGCTCCAAGATTATTACCCCGGCTTAAGCATGGCTGCCATTATGGCACTCTAGCACTCTAGCATTTCAAGGAATTTTTTCAGATATTTACCTCACCTTGGGGGAGTTGGAATAAACATGTTTTAAATACATCGAGAGACTCCACTACGTTGGAAATAAATTAGCTAATTTCTGCCAAGGAGTTGATTTATTCAAGGACGCAATTTCGGCGGCAGGGAATGATTCTACGCAAACTCTATTTTTGACGGAACATTCTTGTTGGCTAGTTACTTTTGTTCATGTTCCAAGCAAATTTAACAAAGCATAATACTTTTAAAAAAAAACTTGAACATTTATTTCATAATAAAAATAGACAGTGGTACAAATAGAGCGTAATTATACAGAGATATATCACAATATAGCATACATGGCCCAGGACAATGAATTTGCCAAAGCAGGGCATACCATATAAGCATAAAACAAACAAATGACTGAGACAAAAAGATAAATGAAACAAAATACAACCTGTTGCGGCTAAAAGAGGAAGAGAAAGAAGTAGAATGGACAGAGAGAAAGAAAGAGAGAGAGAGAGAGAGAGAGAGAGAGAGAGAGAGGGGTGAAGCGAGAAGGAAAGCGAAGGAGAATAATACTATAGAGTAGATGGGACTGGCAAATTCCCTAAACATGCAAGGAATGGGTGCGAGATGAAAAAGCTGACAGCAATGAAATTTGTCACAAAGATAATCATTACAAATAGCTGTCTATGGGGCCATTTAATATATGCTGGAGGAAATAACGTTTAAGTGCATTCCTGAAACCAACTTAAATTCGGGTCCTGCAAAAGTAAGAATTTATTATTTATTTATTAGCAGGCAGAGTTCTCATTTTTAGAGGGTGATAGGAGCACGCTTACCTGGTGGGGTAGCTGTGTTATTCGGTATTTTTCCAAAACATATTTAAAACTACTTCTGGTAACTCATTTCTAATGAGCAAACACTTACAAATCCCAAATGAGAAGAAAACAGATCACGTATATGACACTGCATCAATGCCTTGTAAAATGTGCGCAGCTGTGTAAAAAATAGATAATAGGTCATAAATTTTGGTTTCCCAATTTCATCCTAAATGACTGCCCTAAGCCATAAAAATATCCTTTATTATCCAAATTTCCAAATCTATTTAAAGAGTTGTCCCAGATAAATTGCACCCTCCCCTGGACATCTCCGTTTCAGGATTGTAGCTTGGGGTGGGGGTAATAAACGCCCTGTTAATATGTCAATAATTTCCAAAGAGAATATTATAACGTTTCCTTTGAGAGGCAGGTTTTCAGGATGAAACGGATAAGTATAATTTTACCCATGTGTCAGGAGTGATACAAATTTCAGAACCCATTCAGACGAAAGGGGGGGGGGGGTGTATAAGAAAAAGGCAATTGCACTAATTAGCATTAGCTTAAAACTAATTAAGTAATGATTGTGTCTTATTTACCCGTGGTATAGCCACGTCGGGTTAATACTGCCCTATACCTGCCGACCTTGCAATTATATTAGCCAGAGCATTGCTTAGAATCAATTCACACCCGGGTAGAGAGGACCAAATGTGGGAAAAATCGCCTTGTCTATGGACGTAAACATCGAGCACGAATCGAACCCACAACCTGTCGTATGAGAGTCACGAACCTTTGCATATATACCACAGTGCTCCAAATGTAATGAGAATCTTCTAACTTGCAAACGTTATATGCATTTATGAAGGTCATTTACGGTTCCGCATAAGAATAAAACAAGCATTCCTATACAATTATTATTCATACTATCGTAATTACAGAGGAAATTCAAATAATATCCAATACCGTTGTCGAGATCCATACAACTTTCTTCTCCTTGACTTTTGTGCAGATTTTTCTTTTCAATCTCGTTATATGTACCATCTCACGATTGGTTTCATACAATCATGAATTTTGATAATATATCCACTTTTCAAAAAGAATTTCGATTTTGTGTTGAATGTTTTACTTTTCAACCATTATATTTGTTTGTACTTTCATCATGTTGTTCAATATTGTCTATTTTGTTATTGTTTTTTATGTTGAGCGTTTTAAAGGGGGAAATATAGTTCAAGATCAATTCCAAGTTCAAGTTCGAATATTGGTGTTCTAATATAACCGTTAAAAGGAATGAGAATGCTTATTTCCACCAGCACGCGTTTTAGCTTTAAAATATACTATATGATAACATTTAAAAGGAAAAGTAGTGACTTTCGGACATCCTTTAGGTTAATTCCCTTAGATTTACTAAGTGACATCATTTACTAGAAATGTCTGTTAGCTCCAGGAAGAACCAGGAAAAATCTCGAATAAATGACTACGACGTCATTATAGTAGATTACTGGATATCCGGTGTGGAATGACTTCCAGTTTCATATTCGATTTCAACCTCCGACCTACATTTCAAAATATGTTTTTACACACGCAATTGAAGTACAAATACCAAAACAAAAATCCTGACTGACAAGACGAATTAACTTGCCACAAATAAGAGATAGGAGCGAGAGTTGTTTTTTTACAAAACTGTATGGTGCGTATTTTCAAATATTCATTTCCATGTCTTGTTATAATTTTTTAAAGCTATTAATTTATATGATAATCATCAAATGGAATATGATACATGTCAGGCATTACAGTGAGGAATAGGGAGATAAATTAGCGTTGATCTGCGAATATTAAGAACAAGAGAGAAAGAGAGAAAATATAGGGGAGAGAGTAAGAAAAAAAAGAGAGGGAGAAAAAGAAAGGACAAATGAAAAGGGAATTAGAGAGGGAAGGGGGAGGGGGAGAAATGGAGGGACAAATGAGGAGAAAAATAGAGAGAGAGAGAGAGAGACAGAAGGGAAGAGGATGAAGGAAAAGTGACGCCCCTATAACTGGAATGAGAGTTCAGTGATGAGAGGGTACCATCATAGTTTCATTTCAGTTATAACCCCACAAATTCCTCCACACACCCACGCACACAAATCAAGTTACACGTACCAATAACACCATTACACCCACACGCACAAACAAATAACTCACACCCTCAATACTCATACACTGAACTCACACACACACACACACACGCACATCACACACTCACACGCACACATCCACCGCATACACGCAACTTTAGCCTAGCATACTCGGAATCCCCTAAGACGAAACCACAGGAAGTTGGTTGCGATAATCACATGGCTATGAAGTATGGGAAAGGAAAATCCCCTTGTTTTACCCATTTATGTCACAATTATGGTCAAAATGAATACGATGACATTATCTTTGCAGGTCTGACGAAATTCGTTGGGAAATTTTGTATGCAACTCACGAGTTGTATGATAGTCATCACATGATGTGTATTATAACGATAGTAAAGATATTAAAATATGCGCGAAATATTTAATTTATCCGTAAAGAACTGTGAATTATCTCTAGAGCTTGATGTTAATCAATAAGAAGGTCATTTTGCTTAAAGCTTTCAGTGAAAGCTGACAGTTGTCTACTACCGGCCAATTATACATTATACTTGCTCAGTACTTTTTAATTTACGAGTTAGATGCGGGCACAACCATATTTCGTTTCCTCCATAAAAATTATCTAACTTTTGACACCGACTAAAAGTTTATGATCGTCTTTTAATATCTGCATTTTGATTGGATTATTTCTCTTGTAACATGCTCTGAACACGCACCTTCGACAATAACGTATTTGAACCTGAGACTTATTTTCGATGATCCTGATTTTGTTCAAGCCAGGTAGTATAGTGATGCTTATTTTCTGATTCTATGACGGAGCAGCTAAACGTGTGCGGCTATTTCTATATAGAAGGGAATTAATTTTTATACCACCGCCCTTTTCTGTACAGCTCTTGTTCCATTCTGCCCACCGATGAGAAAGGTTCCGCAATTGCAAGACTCTCTCTTCAGAGAGCCGGCGTTGCTTTAGCTCCTCTTTCAACCTCTACTTCCAGACCAGACCTTTATTTCTTTCATGAAGATTGGACACCGGATGTTTCTTTAACCAACTGAACCCACCAAAAAGTAATTTTGCAATCGCCGTCATCTTCTCTTCCATCTTCGTATCACCTTCGTTATCGTCATCGACGTCGCCATGGCACGCATCTTCGCAATATCCGATCTCCACGTCGATCACCCAGACAACCTTCGATGGCTGGAGGGACTGCCTTTCCATCGGTACGAAAACGACGTCATCTTAGTAGCTGGTGACGTCACAGATAAGCTTCCTCTTCTCAAGTCGAGTCTCATCACCCTCACCAAAAGGTTCAAGACGGTTTACTTTGTACCAGGTAGTGTATGATTCTAATCTCCTGATATACATCATCTTCTTTTAAAATATCGTCATTTTCATCTTCAGTGGAGGTTGGAGGGGGGGGGGGCATGATGGTGGGGGGGGGGGGAGCGTTCCGTTTACAAATTGAAATACCTTAAAAACACATAAAGATGTGCCTCTCTTTTTGTAGATTTTAGACTCTCGAAAAAGCCATCTGTACATATCATAACCCTTTTCTTTACTTTATATATTGTTTACCCTATTATTGGAGAAAGGTGTTTGTCGGAGATTTACAGGTTTGCGTAATGAAAATTCAACAATGTCATATAAAACGTTGAGACACAGACATGACTTCTGAAATCTATTTAGATAAATATCTATTTGTTTCATAATGTTTGCACGTTGGTCAAAACATAAGGTTTATCACGGGTAATCGAATAGAACGGCATGCGTGGAAACTTAATATACATTTTCACATTATGATTACAAAAATTACATTTTTTGCTATCATTATTGAAACTCGTTATTCTTGACACGAATGAATTCATTTCACGACTATTAATCATTATGCCTTCTGAACAATAATGCAGCTTATAAGGAATAAAGAATATCATAAAACCTGAGAGTAATATAAATGTTAACATTATCATGTTCGTTAAATATTTCAGAATCTTTCAAGAATGAATAACACATGCTCAATAAGCATTGAGCGTGATTACGTTTAAGGTATACATGAGCTGCCTGTGAAAATGAGTCAAATTGACTAAAAATAAATAAATCCGGCCCTATAATCATTCATAGTATATTCTACATCATAAATCGAATCAACGATGATAGACAACCTTTAAGCCATACATCTATTTCTTGAAAAATGGTATACTGAAGAAAAACTGGATCATACTTTTTGATACGGTCAAAATTTCTACGAGGTTAGGATTACAAAGATTTATTTGCTTTCTAATTTGTCCCATCCTTATTTCCATCACTTTTTCTTCTCGTAGCAGCATCCGATTAAGTCCTTTGATTAACTGCTTAGATAGGAACAGATCGTTAGCATACCAATCACAAAATTAACCTTGGCGTACGATTATTATTTCGTTTTCCCTATCTCGCTGATCTGATTGCCTCTTTAAATGCTAATCTAATGCAGATGTCACTAAGCATCAATTACTAAAATAATTTTGATGATATCTCTCATAGGCACTAAAACGTTTTTAGGAAAGATCACATAAATAAACTCGGTACCAAGCAGTGCAGTCAACTGTTCTTGATGGGTAATTTGACTTGAGATGGAAGCGTCACAAACTATAAGAATCCAAACCCGGCACTAACGTCACATATAGGTGTATAATGGGTACCTGTCAATTGATTGGGTAATATCAATTGCAGGCCCTCAGGAAGAACAACATTGACGCTGATTAGGCTGCCCTGAACATTATCATTGGTATTATCATCATCATAATTATTCTTATTATATCGCAAAGGGACGTTACATCATAACGTAATATGCGTTATACAAGAACGGAATTTTGTTTTGTTTTGTTTTTTCCTTGCCAAGCTTAGGAGCTCCCTTTTCTTGCAAATGTTCTTCCTTGCTTATTCTATTATATATTCTTTATCTATTTCTGCTGCCAATACAATTACCACCACCATTATTTCTCCTACTCCCAATCCAACTCCCCTCTTCCTACTCCTTCCTCTACTACTTATACTACTACTACTACTACTACTACTACTACTACTTCTACTACTACGACTACTACTACTACTACTACTACTACTACTACAACAACAACAACATCTACAATTACTACTACTACAATTCTACTACTATTCCTGCTACTTCTATCACTGCTACCATTACTACTCCTACTACTACTATACTCAAACAACAAGAGCAATGATAATTATTAGGATGAAGATGGTGTCAATAATAATAATAATAATAATGATAATATCAACGTCAACAAAAACAAGAGCAACAAAAATATGATAATTCCTATCCCAAGTATGAATTCTTTTGTTATTATTACCTTTTGTATAAAAAAACTCCGCATTTATTCCTTCCGCTTGTGCTAGCATTAATAAACCTATAATTCATGCTGGTAGTGATAAGATCTATTCATATATTTGTCTCCTAGATCACCTCGCCTCCCTCTGCTTCTAGATATCAAGCCGTTGATTTTCTTGATCTGTCTTTAACTTTGTATTTGTTTATAATCCATCAAAAACATGACTAATTTTCCTATAATTCATGCTGGTAGTGATAAGATCTATTTATGTATTTGTCTTCTAGATAACCTCGCCTCCCTCTGCTTCTAGATATCAAGCCGTTGATTTTCTTGATCTGTCTTTTACTTTGTATTTGTTTATAATCCATCAAAAACATGATTGATTTTCCTATATTTCATGCTGGTAGTGATAATATTTATTTATATATTTGTCTCCTAGATCACCTAGCCTCCCTCTGCTTTTAGATATTAAGCTGTTGATTTTCTTGATAAGTCTTTTACTTTGTATTTGCTTATAATCCATCAAAAACATGATTGATTTTCTAAAGAAAAGTTTTTAAACAGAAATGTAAACAAAAGCAGGGTAAATATATTTTGATTAAAGGTGGATATTGAAGACATCTGTTTCTCTTCCCCCCCCCCTCTCTCTCTCTGTTCCCATTTTACAGGCAACCACGAGTTGTGGGTCAAAGATAGGAACATTATGAACAATCACATGAACTCGGTGGAGAAATTTGACCGGATCCTGGACCTGTGTGAGACAATAGGAGTCCGAACTGACCCGGGCAGAGAGGTCTTGCCAGATGGCGATGCGGTGTGGATAGTCCCGCTATTTTCATGGTAATTAGACTTTACTTATTCTAATTTATTTATTATTCGATTATAGTTTTGATTAATGAGATTTTATCAAATATCATATAAAAGAATGGTTAGTAATATCGAGATACAACATGCATTCACTTGCATTTGTAGCTTTTAATGTTTCGCTGCGTTGCTATATTCGTTTCAGTCGGTATAGCTTCTATCAAGAAAAGAGTTTGTTTAGCACCATCAATCTAATGAAATATTTTGAAAGTACAGTACGAAACCTTAAACAATATCATCTTTTATGTTTATCATCAATGCTTTTTTTGTTGAATAGCCACGGTTGCTTTCTCTTAATTTTTTTTCGCAAACCACTTGACTCGTTGAACGTCTAAGTTAACGCTTATGAGTACAGACTGTTGTACATCCATTAAAACTATCATCAAGTCCTGATCAAAATGAAGGCAATTTCTGTAAATCATAAAATGGGAACTGTTGACTGCATGACACTGAAATAAGATGTTCTATCTGTTAATCCTTGTCAAGGTATGCAACACCCGAAGACGACAAACAAGACTCACTTCACATCACTGCCAGTCATCTCCGTGAAGACGTCAAGCTCTGTAACCAGCTCTGGATGGACAACCACAACTGCGCCTGGCCCAAGGACCTCGGTATGCCACGCGCCAAATTCTTCTGCAAGCTCAATAACGCGCGCACGCAGACAATCTACGACGCGCCCGTCATCACATTCAGCCACTTCCTGCCGCGTAAAGAACTGGTGAAGTCAACCATCGAAGACGATCGGTGTATCGTCCACGAACGACGCCATCTTGGAAAGCCGTTGTTGCTTCCCAAGAGACAGGGTTCGATAAAAGGTTTCAACTTCACCCGGTACGCCGGCTGCCATGGATTGGACGCGCAGGTAAGGACATTGGGCTCGTTTCTCCACGTCTACGGGCACCAACATCGTAATCGCGATCGTGTTATTGATGGAGTACGGTACGTGTCACACTGTCTGGGCTACAAAAGGGAACGCGAAGAGGGGTTCACCTACGGAATCAGAGAATGGAACGGCCCTAAACAGGTATACCCATCCGCGCATAACCCTTAGTACTTCTCCACACCTTTTCTGGTCCCTGTTATCCTAAAATTTAAACGCGTCGCTGGGTCTGAGTTTGGGTTATAAAAGTCACTTCACAATTCTAAGATTTCCCTTCGTCTAACGTGACTTTTGTCCTTGCATCGGGTTAATTTAAATAAGTAGAATAATTATATACGGGACATTTTGTTTTTGAGATATAAACTATCTTAGACAACGACTATACCGTCATTCGTGTTGTCCCCACAGGCTGCATTTGCATGGCTTTTGGTTATCTACCGTTCTTATCTAAAGCTTTTTTTTAATCATCTTTATTGCTTATCATCTTTATTAGCTTAGATACATGATGAATAGCCGAAAGACTCGGTTTTAGATATCAACTATGTTGTATTCAAATTTGCAATTATCAAGGGATAAGTATTGAGAGTCTTAAATTGATTAAATTGCTATATACTTTCTCAGAAAAGATCTATTTGTTGGAATAAATTATAGGATTTCATTAGAATCAAAATTACAGAGCAAAATAATTAGAATGTGATTATTCTAGAATCTAGATACATATAAAGCATCTATTAAATTCATTTGGGACAGTAATCAATATTTGTGCATGTCTAATGATCTTAAACTATGAGGTTACACTCGACGAATAGTAAAATGTTTCATAATGAGGACTAAAACAGAGAGTGCATTCTCTAGAGCGTTTACATGTTAAAATCTTGCGCTTTTCTGCTCCCATCGCCCGAAATATAACGAAATTAGTGAACACACTGTATTTTAAAGATATTAACTTAGTCATTAAAACCTGTTTACCTTTGTTGTACATCATGATTATTTTGCGCCCCCTCGATGCTATTATCAAGATGAATTAATAGTTCCTCGTCGAGTCTATCAGGGTATTTTTCATTTTGGAGAGAGAAAGAGAGAGACAGAGAGAGAGAGAGAGGGAGAGAGAAAGAGAGAGAGAGAGAGAGGGTGAGTGAGAGAGAGAGTTTATGTGCTTGTCTATGTGTGTGTCGATGAGTATATATATATATATATATATATATATATATATAACATATGTACATACAAATCTCTATTAATTTACATGTAGTGTGTTGTCATGAATGTATATGGTTTATAGCATAATCAATTATTGTTAGTGTACAGAAATTCTCTTATTCTATATTAATTTATATTACTTTGTATTATATTATATCATTATATATCACATTATGATATATGTTTAAATAAATGTCGAATATAAATAAAAGAAATTAAACAAAAACAATTGTATAGATGACTTTTTTTTGTCTACATTTGATTTGAATTTGCTTGCTCCAACATTATAATACTTTACAGGCGTTTATCTCCATCACTATGAAAATGGATATATTATCATTCTCTAACCTACTTCATACTAGTTTTATCGAACGATGTAGGCCGTTTCATTATCTAAAACTGATCTTGGTTAGGAAGTTAGTTTTAATTTGTTCATCTTTACTAGAAGGGTTTTTTGAAGCAAGACAACGTTTTTTTTATTAGGAGATTGGCATTAGATCAAGTCTACTTTAAAGAACGACAGAGGCAACGTGTTACGCATGTGGATCGAGGATACTAAATGTGTGTTGTTAGATTTCTTTATTTTAATTTTCTTGCTGCATATTTATAATACATTTCCCTTTTTGTTAAATACCAATATCGCTTGATGAATATAATTTGTTTGAACATTCACTATAAGTTTTATTCCTTCCTGTAAATTTAGATTCCGTTATTACCCAAACTAATTTCTAATAACATAAATTAAAATGAACAAACGTCAATCTTCAACTGTTGAGCATTTAAAGACATGTAAACCTTGCACATATCAACGCATACAGTTTTATAAGTTATTAGGTTATTTCTCTTTAAATATTTAAATATTTTGAATCAAATTATTTCTTTGAAAGATCAATTGGAAACATTAATTGGAATAGAACTTCAAAGATGTAAATTCCTCCTGATTAAGGTCCCGAACTGTAATGTGAAAAACATAAATGAAAATAAGGGGCGTTGTAAGCCTTTCTGTCGAAAAAAAGGCCCGATTCTCTACAAATTTAGTGCCGCCATGCGTGTACTTTTGCCTATTTCCCAGACGGGAAGGATTTAAATACCATGCACATTTTATATTCCTATCATCATTCAGGACCTCAGTCAAGAACATACTAGAAAGTAGCTCCAGACATTAATTATAAGTAAGTAAATTTAAAAAAGTTGGAACGAACCCCCAAAACAGCCAAATTTTACGATCTTTCCCTCAACATTTTTATAATTTTGTCATCCAATTCCAAAAGAAATTTCGTCAACATTTTGGTAATTGTAAGTTCTCCTTTTCATTGGTAGTGTTCGATTTAATCGATCTCTTATAGAAATCGACCTTTGTTCATGGGGAAAATGTGGTCATATTCCATAGAGATATTCAAATCTAAGCAAATTTAAAGAACTAAGGGTTACATATTTGAGTTGCACAGGTTCATATCCCCTGAAAATTCATTTGTTCCATCATGTATATCAAGACAATTCTATTTATATAAACTTTTAGAAGAATGTAGAGGAGGGAGAGAGAGAGAGAGAGAGAGAGAGAGAGAGCGAAGCAGGGGAAGAGAGAGTGAGATGGAGGAAGAGAGTGAGAGAGAAGATGGGAGGCAGGGGGAGAGGAAGAGGGAGGACGAGAGAGGAGGAAGGGAGGGTGAGGGAGGGAGAGGGAGCAAGAAAGAGGGAGTGGGAGAGAGATGGAGAGAGAGAGAGAGAGAGAGAAAAGACAGACAGATAGACAGAGACAGGGTTTGATGATGGAAGATAATATAGGGGCGGATGTATTACACATTTCTGCAGGTACCTCCCTATATACGAATGCAGAACCTAGTCGTAAAATTTGATGTCGACGTTTTTAGTTTAAAGAAACATCCTGTTTTTATAACAAAAGCAAACTTAGACAAGGATTTTTGTTCACATTCCATTGAGACAAGTTATTGCTCCCCGATGTACATAATTTCCAAAACGATCTCAACGACATGCATACACCATCAATAATTCAGAGTTTGTCATGAATGTTTCCCGCCTTTGTTTCGGATTACACTCTTGAACAAATCGAGTAGTTTGCTCTTTAATAATTTCTTTCACATCGTCGCACTCCTCGCTATTTCATTACCAAAGATATGTTTTATGTCTAGCCATCAGTCGGACTATCTATTTCATTTAACGTACACACGCTATCTTACATAGCGGATCCACAGACTGTATATTATTTGTGAAAGGAGTATTTTTTAATCTCTTGTAGATATCATATTTTGCTTTGTCATGTTATACCATGTCTGTCATTGTATTCACATACCTATATCTTACAGAACATATTAACCCGTTGACTACTGAATTGTATAGGTCCCATAGGCTTAACACAGGGACCACCAGGTTCCAGTAGGCGATGGGTTAAAACCGTCAGAGAGATTAAGGCGAGGCGTCAAAAATATCGATACCAGCAGGCTGCCGCCTCACGTATTGGCGCATCGAGGCTGCAATTACGGCCGAAGCCTGGCTGGGGCAATTATTTTTCACTTATTAGCCCAGCCGGTTTGCGCCAGGCTGGGATCTGAGGCTCGGTTTCCATTCGAAAGGCGGCAGCCGGCGCATGCTTTTGTTCGGAGACCATTATGATGACATCATGAGTTAATTGAGGGTCCTACCGCCAGCGGTAGCCGGCTGAGCTAATTTAAAAAATGCAGCCAGGACGCACAAGTGCAGTTAGCTGCCGCTGGCTGGTATATTTATTTTTGACGCCTCGCCTAAATTCCTTTACATAATATATTGGGGAACTTGTTATCATACTTTTTTGTCATTTTATGATAAAGAAGAATCTCCAGTCATCTTTGAACAACTTGAACCATCGACGGACCAACTGGACGTTATATAGTATGTTATGACAAAATACATCATAGTGCCATTGCGTCATACCACCCCGCTTCTTGTAAATCGAAGAGGAATACTTCGCGGGGAATCTCTAGAGCTAAATTTTCTCTCACGTCTATGTTTTTATATTAGAAAGAATGAAGATGTCTATGTTACGTTTGCAAATACTCAACGGTAGTCGTCTTTTCGTCTATTTCCCTTCCCCCAAAGTCATGTGTGATATAATTATTGCTCTGTAACACCATATAGCTGGGTTCAAACCACCGATTCCTCCCCTACCCTCCTGTAAAAAGTCAGTTACGTAACGTTTGTTTGGTTTTATTTCCGAAATCTATATAAACATACAAGTTTAATAAAACATACATATAAAACACATTTCAAATGATAATAAATGTGTAAAGTATAGACAAACGGTTGGATAGCCCATTTCAGGACCATTTTCACAATGGTCCTGTTCTTCCATTGGGTCCATATTACTCTACCAATATACAACTCTCTGTAGTCAGGGATCCAAAATATGACCCCGTTAGGTCACCTTTGTGATATTAGGGACTTTCAGATTCGCACGAAGACAATGGGGATTGCTACGATCGACGTCCTTTTAATGCACTGTCTTGAATGGACGTCACACGTATCAGTCCACGCAAATCTAAAAGTCCCTAATATCTTCACCACTACTTCCTCCCCCTAGAAAAAAACATATATAAATAAAAAACAAAACAACAAACAAACAAACAAACAACACGGTTTGCTTTATCAAGGCATTGTTTTATACACGGACCTATATCTATAGCTGGAATTGTATACCTTTAAACAGATTATTAACCAATAGTTGAGATATTTCGTAATAAATATATCAATTCAAGGGGCTGTTGCAGTACTGGTTGGGAGGGGGTATTAGGGCACAGTCTTCACACGTTCATACATTTCGACGGGGCAAGCTAGGGTCGAGACGAGGGTACGTGGTAGTTTTTGTTCATTTCATCGTATTGTGATGTTTAAGTTTTGCTCTTTTCAGTTATTTTCCTCTCTTTCTCCCTATTTTGTTTCATTAACATTTGATGGGTAGGCCTACCTTTCTCCGCACACCTACACACTTTTGTTTCTTTAATAGTTTTGTTTTTGTTGATTCCAAACAATACAAATTAATTTTAGAAATAAAATACAGTTGTTTTTCCTTGACATGAATTCTATTGATGAAAACAAAAATGAAATCAGTTGTAACATAAATAACCCCATCGAACCAAACCGTCCTTGTTTTCACGAAGTGACGGTAGTGAGGAAAATCGTAACGCAAAGTGAATGCAATTTTTTTTTCACTACCGTCACTTCGTGAAAACAGCGACGAAACACACTACTACCCCCCCCCCCTCCCCGACATGCGACACACACACCACCCGAACATACTTCCACCACACACTGTTCCTAGCTTCCTCAGAATACCCCCAAATTGGAGCGCATTACCCCACACACACACACACACATACGCACCCACGCACACCCCACGCGCACATACATACACGCACGTGCCTACACCTTCTCCCCCACACTCACGCACATCGTTTCTACTCCACTAAGTAATGCATACATACACACACACATACACACATGCACTCACGCTCACTCACGCACACCTTTTTTACGCCACTAAGTAATGCATACACGTTACTTCACAATAGAAGAGGAAAACCCGAAAATAAACAACAACTATAGTATTCTACTTCGTCCTTGCTCTTTTCTTCCACGAACAAAATATTCCATTATTACTTTTACTTTTACTTTTGTTTTGTAATTGCTTCCATGATGATGCTTATATCTAAATAAATATTAATCATGTGGTGGTGTGACTTATTCCCGAACACTATGAATATAATAAAAACCCATTGATTAAGGCGATACGTCATTTAGACAAGAAACGTACTAACTGGATTTAAATATTGAATTCTGAGGGCAAAATAGCTTGTTTATGAAATAAACGATTAATATACAATTCTATTCGTATTGAGTATCCATCAAATCAGCCATACAACAAATTCTCTTGTTTTCATTGACCTTCAAAAAGGTTGAGCAAAAAATGAAAGAAGTTGCTTGAAAGAAACGTAAATGATACTGACAAATTATTTGTTCTAAGTATACGTTTTGTTTGAATGTTGTATGTCAGGCTGCCAACAGAATGAAAAGTGAAATCATCTGTGGA